ACTTCCCTGCAATGAGCTGGGAACTGACATTACAAACTGCAGTGCTTTAATGTAGCAGGAGCAGGTCCAGTAAACCACTGGAGGGAATACAGTACAACCTAACTATCTCTGCCAAGGAGGTAATGTTTTCAGTTTGTTTGTTTTTATTTGTCTGAAGGATTACGGGAGAACCAATTGTCAGGAAACTTGGTGGAAGGGTTTAGCATTGGCAAACGAAGAACCCATTACATTTTGGCGTGGATTCAAATGACTAGGGTTAACTTTCCGAATGCTCTTCTGGTTTTCCTCTGTGTTTATTTTTTGTTCGTCTGCCGGATTACAGAAAAGCTATGGATCTGATTGTAATAATACTTTGTGGAAAGAATATAAAAAACATAGAACAAGGCTGATACTGTACATGCATATCGTTTTGACATAACAGAAAAATTGCACATAAAGTTTCTCTCAAAATGCTTTTCTAATTGATACATTGGAACACTCAACTCGTCTGTCTCTATTGATTTACCATTGGCATTTGATGTCTGCAAATAATCCAGAAAGAGTATTATATCTTTGTGAAATAGTCATTGCTGATGATGGAGCTCGAGTTTTGGCACTTCCGCAAGGGTTTAGAAACCAATTGAGCATTACTTTTCCATAAATATACAGGAGTTGATTTTCTCTTAACCATATGTATCAGTGCAATATTATCTATGATTTACAGATTTATTTTAAAGCAAGATAAAAAAAAATCTTTGGCACCTGTCATTTTGACTAATAAAAACAAATTGCTGCCACTGCTACACGCCAACTCACATAATGTACACTCCCATAATTAGACAACATGCCATAATTGTCAAACAAAGGATCCACCAAACAAACAGTTCTCCTAAGTTGACCAAGCCAAACATTACGTGTGCCCTAATTCAAACCAGCCAGCTTGATGTTTACTAGTGTGGAAATCAGCAGTTGTTGAACTGAGCAGGCCTTGAGCGTGAGACTTCTGTGGTTACCAGTTGTTAAAATGTAGTTTAAGACCTGTGGTGAAAATAGACATGCAAGTGTGTGTTTAAAGCTCCTAATAACTACCAGTGTCTGGGAATGCAGAGGACATGTGGTGGACAGACAGTCAGCTGGCTGGTGTGTCGGTCTGTCCTTTTCACGCTATGACGTGTAATGTAACGAGGAGCAGAGATGAGATGATGGATACCAGAGGAGTGATGTCATCTCTCAGGCTCGCATGTTGCCCGTATGATTTTATTCTTTTACAGTGACGGCTGTATCGAAGTCCAGGTGCTGTAAATTACCAAACATCAATTCACTTGTCTATGTTGTGAACCAGGGTGGTGAGGGATGACATATTTGTATAGGCGGACCCAGAAGTAAAAATGGCAAGGGCTCTCTTGACTGAAAGCTAATGTGATCTTTTCTGTGACGAACAAACACTTATAATACGTACACGTTTTTTACAGCAGAAACATTTTTCGAATATTGATACCACTTTGTTGAAGTGTAAATGCAATCGGCAGAATCAATAGCCAACAATTGGCTATAAAAGAACAACATGGTTGTTGCATGACTTCACATCACAATCACTAAGCTAAAGGCAGACTTGTAATGGACTCGAGAAGATGCCGTTTAGTGGTCTCATCTAGTCTAGCAACCGCCATGGTTATGATACTTAAAGGCTCCAGACATTTACGAGTGGGGTATTTACTGAAGATTTTATGTTGTAGAAACTAAATGTCAAAATCATTTATTTCACACATCTTACCAAAAACACGTTAAAATGGCTGACTCTGAGACGAGGGAACTGGAACTGCCAAAATGCTAACTCATTTCTGGGTTTTAGGACTCGTTCCTGCACCCCTCCACCACCTAATCTTTCTAAAACCCCTAAACAAAGCCAAGTCCAAGAAGTCAGAGTGATCAAATGGTGGTTATGGTAAATGTATGTTGCAGTATATTTCAACAGGATAAAAAGTGACTGTGGCTGTTTCACATCAAAGCCAGTGTGGTTTCAAGTTCTAGATGGTCTTATATACTGAGAGGTTTCAGTTACATATGCCATTTTACAAAAGTGTTTGCATATATCTGGTGGTTTGTGTGTCCATGGCTTATCTCGGACCACCCTGAACCAACCTGCCTCGTATTCTTCGTGCACATTATTGACTGTGTGTTGCGGTCATTCACACTGTGTTATTGACTGCTGACTTTTCACTTTTCGTCACAGGCAGGTCAGCAAGTGTTTAACAATGCTGTAATAGCAAAATACATTTCCGGTAAGCCTTACCTTGTCTGTCAGACAACACTTAAACACACCTTTGTCGTAGCTCAAACTGACATCGATTAAAAAGAATTGGCAAGCATCTGCAGAGAGATTTCATACCCAATTACGATCCACTAAAGTAAGGCATAATACAAGATGAATAAATGTTCTGGTAAATTCGACACCATCGGATTTTAAGATCCGGTTCTTCTCACATTGTTTTCGCCTCTCTGCAGCGCTGTGGATATTTGTCCCAGCTGTGCTGCTGACAGTAAGTCGATCCTCTACAGATTTGGTTGTGCTAATGAATCTCATCTGACGGCTATATCTCTGTGGTGTTAGGGACGCATCAACAGCCAGCGTGTTTGCCTCTTATTTCCCTATCTCTCCACCCTACACCACTTTAAACAGCCAACCAAACCCACAGTTGTTTCAGGCTGGCTGTAAAAAAAGATCTGCTTATTCCGGTGTTAAAGAGGCGGCTGTGAATATAGATGAGCAGGTCTGTGATGTGGAGCAGCATCTCTAGGGGAACACTTCTGTTATCACTCCTCAGACCAGTTTGTGTCTGCTTCAGAGCTCATCAAGGCAAACAAACTGTCAGACACTCCAGGGAAGAATAATATATGCTCTGTATAGGCAGATTGTATTTGGCATTTTTAAAGAAGACACCAATTGTATATTGAATTTGTAAGTGTAGGCTATTATTATTATTATTATTATTATTATTATTATTATTATTATTATTATTATTATTATTATTATTATTATTATTATTATTATTATTATTATTGTCATGATGGCCTGAGATCAGTAACTCACAGAGAAAAATCAATAAGGGCTTCAGTGTCTTGCTTAGGAGCATTTATCCATTTGACCTTATTCAAATCGTTCTTATTGAGTGTCACATCTTCTGTAGATCAACGTCTCTATTTTAGTGTGATTGTACAGAAAGTAGAGAGCAGATTAGTTCCTCATTGCAGAAATGGTAAGAAGACCTACATTACAAAAAAAAATGGTTCCCTAATATTATAGACACACACACACATACTGTACCATGTATACATCACTTCAGGGGACATTACATTGACTTACATGCATTTCCTGGAGACTTATCCTAACCTTAACCATAAACTACACATGCCTAACCCTAACCCTTACCCTAACCCTAAACCTAACCAAGTCTTCACCCTAAAATTAATGATTCCCCTCATGGGGACCTCCATTTTGTCCCCATAAGGGAGGCGAGTCCCCACACGTGACTGTGTAAACAGTTTTAGGTCCCCACAAGTATAGTAATGCTAGGACACACACACACACACACACACACACACACACACACACACACACACACTATAGACCCTTTATATTGTCAGAAATAGCATAGTCAGTCCTTCACTTAATAAGTTAAAATAGTAAATACTCCATTATTGTTGTCATTGTCGAGGCAATTATAGCTTGTTTAAGCTTAAACACTGTTTATCAATCAATCAATTATTCAATCAATCAAAATACTTTATTAATCCCAGGGGAAAATAATATTTTGTCACAGTTGCACCATATACGAATGAAATAAATCATATTAATATAAACATAAGTTGAAGTGAAAATGTGCAGCAAAAGTCCACAGAGTCTTTGGACATATGAACAACTATGCTTTTAGATAAATGCTAAAGTCAGTGTGCGAACATGCTCACAGCTACTTTTTTATACGAGTTGATAGTTAATTCAAGTTGCTAGTATTAAATGTTTAAATGTGATTCCAATGTGATTAAAGCATTAGAGGCTTCTTTCCCAAAGGGTGAAAACGTTCCTTCTTCTGGACTGTATTTAGAATTACAGTAAAGAAACTTCATTTGAAGACATTGAGAAATACTAATTTGGCCTCAGTGTTTGGGAAGTAAACTTGACTGTAACCTCTAGAGGTTCAGATCTGGTTTCTAATTGTGTCAGTGGTTGGTTGTCCTTCCTGCTCTTCAACCACATGTTAGATAGGAGCAACCTGAACCGTACATCCTGTGTTCTGCAGTATCTCTGCTTCAGACTTAAACACATGTTTTTGTTTTGTGATGCTGAATAACAAAATAAATGTTAAGTTTAAACTGATCAGCTTGTCTATTTGATTACATTTGTATTTGTGTTTATCTGTTTGAGTTCTTTGAAAGAGAAACACTTAACCCATGGTTTTTAATGCTGTTTACATTCTCCTGTATTTTAAACATCTTTGTCTGTAATGCAGGAGTTTTCCACCAGGGAGAATTCAACTAAATATGTAAATAATTCTTAACAAACTGGATTTGGATTCATGAAGCTTTCTCTGCTCTCAGTAGTCAGCTCACCACTCTCTCTGTGGAAAATGTGGCTTTAAAAGAATTTATTACATGGCTTAGTTGAATACTCTATTCTGATTGGTCAATTCAGAACACGTGACACGTTGTTAATCCAGAACAGACAGACCGCTGTCAAGCACTTATTGACCGTTGTTAAGGACGCTCACATCTGCACAAAGAAGTCCGTTCGATTGAACTTTATACAGTTTGGCTGAAAAGCAAACTGCATGCTTCGGGTCGGGATCCTGATCTGCCTGTCGGGTGGTCTTTTACCCATAATGACCGCCTCGCTGCACATTATCCCTTACGTCAACTACGGCCACTGTAAACTGAGCCAAAGGACTATTGATGTTAGGGCTATTTCTCATTAAAACCATACAATAATTATGAATACATTTTTGTTTTGTCTATCCCACCTCCAGGCCCTGAACAAGAAGGAGCACAGAGGCGGCGACAGCCCTGACACTGACGCCACTTACGTCCTCACGCCCCATACTGAGGAGAAGTACAAAAAGATTAATGAAGAGTTTGACAACATGATGAAGTGTCATAAAATTGTAAGTTACGCTGTCATTTATTGTGTTCATCCAGTACCACCTTGCTAAATAAAATATGTTAAAGGGATAGTTTGGATTTGTTTAAGTGATGTTGTATGAGTAAATGATGATCTATGTTCCCTCAGTAAGGAGAATAATCTCACAATCACTCAAACAAACTAATGTATCGTGTTGGGGGGTTTTATACAATCCACCAAGTTCCTAGGCCCCTTAGACTTCAAGGATATCTTTGTTCTTAAAGGTTTAGCGAGGGTTTATTCAAAGCGTAGCACCATGGCAGGTGATTTCCATTCTATATAATAATATATATATCTCGCCCCGTCCATCTCTTACTTCATAATTTGTAATACTGCAGTAACTAACTAAAAACGGTTACAAAATTACACAATTACATAATAACGCGATTCTACATAGTAAAAAACTTGAGATCCACACTTGGACTTCCAGCATTGTACTAGCACATCGTAGTCAAACTCTTTTGCGCACTGAAAGCTGCGCTATGACACTATCACCTATCGTAGATCATAACAGAAACATAACCTTAGCATGGTCCATCTAAATATATATATATCCCTTTAAGAGACTGTACCCCATTCCCACTGGCACTAAAATCTTATTGGTTTTTCCGTTTTACATTACTGGTTTTTCCGTTTTACATTACATTACAATTAGCTGACACTTTTATCCAAAGCAACTTACACACACGTACGTACCGTAGACAAGACTGTGGGAGCTGTCTGAAGAGGCCCTATTGTGCTTTTTTGGTGTTTTCCCTTTCCTGAAGTGTGGTGTTATATAGGTTTTTGTGCATGTAAAGGCTAAAATCCCAAAGTTCCCTCCAAAGGGGAGTTTTTCTACCACTCCCCCCCCCTGCCTGAAACACCTCCATTGGACTCCTTTGTTTACTTCCGTATCATAGTGACATCACTATGTAACAATGGCACTTCCATTGGCTAATGCCCATGCTACTGTAACACATTGTATATGATAGGCTAATCACAACACCGCCGGCCAGCTAACCAATCAGAGCAGACTGGGCTCTGGTTTCAGACAGAGGGTGAAAAGAGGTGCTGCAGCACAGGCAGTATGAGAAAAATAAAGAGCTTTTTGAACATTAAAGCATGGAGACATGTCACTGTAGAGACATAACATATAAATATGAACCTGGAAATGAGCATAATAGGGCCCTGTTAAGTATCTTTCCCAAAGACAATTTGTTGATTGCAGGGCTGGGGTTCAAAACACTGACCCTCCAATTGGCCCATTAGTCCCCTGATCCACAGCCACTTATGTTGTGTCTACAGACCAGATTAGTCAGTTATTTATCTGATGATGATATTGTTGATCCCTTCAGTTTGGTTGCTGATAATACAAACACAGAAAATATAAACAAGTATTGTGTTTTTGTATTGATTATGTTGACATGTCTCTATTGGTCACTTCCTCTCCAGACCACCAACCTTCCACAGCAGAACTTCCTGCATGGCAGCATGGTCTACAGCCCTGGTGCAGGAGGAGGAGGAGGAGGAGGAGGGGGAGGAGGAGCGACCTCCCAGGCTCTCGCTGCAGCCACAGCAGCTCTGGCTGACAGCGGGATCCTCTCCTCACCTCACACACACCTCCACAGAAACATTAACCCCTCACAGAGACCTCCCAGCACTGGAAACACAGGTGTGTGTTTGTGTGTGTGTGTGTCAATGGAAACAATACAAAGTTATGCATAGTAAAGTTTACTTTTCATCTGGATGGGATGTAAAATTATGGGAATACCAACAACTATGGGGAAACAAAACAGCGGGCAAAACGTATTAGTTCCCAGAGAAGGGGGGAAAAAATGACACATGAATGATCACTGATGAGCACATCCGATGAAAAATCACCACCCTGCTCTAGAAAATGAAACTCAGTCTTAAAGAGGCTAATGTCTACATGTATTTATGTGCTTCTCAGGTGATATGGCTCTGCAAAATGGATCTGGGTCTGGTATGTATTTCACTGGAGTGATCCAAACACACACAATGACAAAACTTTACCCATAAGCCTCACAGTCACCTACACGAGTACATATAGCTGTAGCTCAACTAATTTTACACCAAGGAAGTACTTAACATCTTAGTCTTAGTCATCCCCAAAGTTTAGTTGATTATTCTTTACATTTCAAGTCTCCCTGTAAAAGACTCAACATGTTTGTCCTCTCCTCTCCTCTCCCATCCTCTCAACATACCCTCGCCACTTTGTGTACCCAGCATCCTTCGTGATCAGACTTTACCTGCTATAGAGTGCTACAGTTGTGACGTATTTGTGTGGGCCAACCCAGAAGTGAGAATCTCAAGGGAACTAAAATCAATAGGATTTGTCAATTGGATTTGGGATTATTGCAGGAAATAAGTTCTGTGGCAAACAAACGCTTATGATACTTACTATTTTTTTTCCTGGTTTATGTCATCTGTGTTTCTCTATAATGTTCTGATCGTCAGCCCTGGTCACAAACTGTCCTGCCTGTGGTGTACTGCTCTTCCTCCCAGAACAGCATGTCTCATAAGAACACTGCCATTATGTAATGTCAAGAGCAAGACAATATCAATTATTCAATATTGTCTACTGTATAATATATAGCTGTACTTTCTCCATTCAGAGCATAGTGGAAGACGGGTTTATTTAATGGATCTAACACGTGGGACTGTAACCTCCCCCTGGTTTTTAAAACAACATTTAGGTGCATTGTGCTTTTTATACTAAGGCTCTGAAAATCAAACCAATATCCTTACCATCACTTCCTAAATGTCTTTCTCCATTTCTGTGTTCAGTAAACGGTTTTGTGGGCTCCCCTGGTGGAGGCAGCTTGGGGAAGATCCTACCACCCAAATCTCCTCCTCTTCCACACAATAGCCGCAAAACGGACCTCCGAGTGGTCGTCCCTCAGTCCAAAGGAATGATGCACACACTCGTAAGTCTGAAAAATATGCTCTTTTTGAAGCTGTTTGATAAAAAAATAAAAATAAAAGCTGCATTATTTTGTTAGTGGTCACTAGGGGGCAGCCATAAAACCAAACTGACAGATGGACACCGCCCCCTTTAAAGGGGCCTATTATGCTCATTTTCAGGTTCATATTTGTATGTTGTGCCTCTACTGGGACATGTCTCCATGCTTTAATGTTCAAAAAGCTCTTTATTTTTCTCATACTGCCTGTGCTGCAGCACCTCTTTTCACCCTCTGTCTGAAACCAGATTGCTCTGATTGGTTAGCTGGCCGGCTCTGTTGTTATTGGTCAATCGCTTAGAGATGTCCTGCTCCTTAGCCAATCACGTACAATGTGTTGGAGCACTAGCCAATAGAAGTAGTTTCTCAAAAAGTGCACGCTACAAGAGGTTCTGGTCATTCGATGCAGGAAATCTCCCTGCCTCAGAGTCTTCTTTCTTCCTTCACATCCAGCAGCTGAGGTTATCCCAGTTATTGATTTGCCCTTAACTCCCTTACTGTTGCCCTGCCCTCCCACACTATACTCAAACATGATGTAACAATCAGCAAACAAGGGAACGTAGATTGATTTGTAATGAAGGCATAAACAATAACATGCTAAAATGTCCACAAAACAGAAGAGGGTGATGGCTGTACAGATGTCACAGTAATGTTTTTGCGACCTTGTTGAAGTCATTACCGTGTTAGCTCAAACTTTAGTTCTCTACTATGGTATTTATTATCTAGGGACAGGAGTACCACTGTGTGTGTGTGTGTGTGTGTGTGTGACCTCATTCAGAGTGAAGTCATTGCTGACATTATCAGTTCGGAGCGGCTACAGCCCAGAGAGAAACAACACACACTTGTAATGACTGTTAGAAATGTGTAGTAAAAGAGCAGCTTTACCAGCGGGGCTTAAAGCGTGCCAAACCAATGTCTCTTAATTTCTGACTGTGAGTAATCAGGAATGAATTGCCCACTAGTATTTAGTGTGTTTTTAATGAATTGTTAGAGCACTCCATCAAGTGAATTCACACAGAGGTTGAAACAGCAGGAGACCTGATTACATTTCCTAATGAAACCGCTACCAGTTCCAATGCATGTATGTATACATATACATAATAATTATCAATATTATTATTGTACATGTTATTATTTTAGATTTCTGACTTTTTTGCCTCATCTCTATAAACATGGTGTACTATTATTATTATTATTATTATTATTATTATTATTATTATTATTATTATTATTATTATTATTATTATTATTATTATTATTAATAGAAATAATTAAGAGTATTAAGACTACGTAATTAAGGGGATCAAATAGCATTTTAGCAAAGAAACTAGGCCCTGTGTTTTTTGTAATAATGACTAGCCTTGATGGATTAGCAAAGTTTAAAAATGAGGTGAAGAAACTGGCAGGTTGGTAAATGTCTGTTTGACTTTTAGTAATGAAAAACATTCAGCATCCATCGGCAACCCTGTGTTCTGTCCAACATATGAAAATACATTTTTACTGACACCTAGTGGTTGAAATGGGGCATCGCAAGCCATGTCCAGCTGCATCCTTTGAACCACTACACAGGATAAATGCAATAAATGAATAAACATGTGGGTTTTCTGTATTTCCAGGGTACCCAGAGGCTGAGTGACAGTCTGTCCACCCCGGTGGTCTCCATCTCCACACCCAGTCTGTCCCACCAGAGTCTGGTCTACTCCAGCATCGGCTCTCCGTACAACAACGGTACCTGATGATGATTATTGTATTAGTGCTGTATTGCATTAACATAGCAAAACAGCACAAATACAATGTCTGATACTAAGACTGATACTGAAGCTGTATTAATAAAGATTGACTGGATGTACCGCTGTGTGTGCTATCTATTTTACATGAGGTCTCTCTCTGTCAGATTACTCCCTGAACAGTCCCGAGCTGTCGGGCTACTCCCCCACTGCAGGACTCTCTTTGGGCTCCTTGACGGCGTGGCAGCAGCACCAGCTGAGCTCACTGGGGTAAGAAATCTCTCTCTATTAGTATCAGTTGGCATAGTTTATTTACACTAAGACATAAACAGTGTACTGAACAGGCAGAGTCACATGTACAGGAGGTGACAAAGATGTGAAGTGGCTCAGGAATGGAGAGAGAGGACCACTAAATTATCTAATCGTTGTAATGAAGCTATTAATACTCACTTTAAAGACACGCCAGATGAAATAAGCCTCTAGCAAAACAATCCTGAAGGTATTGAATTGAGCAAGGATGTGTTTTCATTCTTATGAGTTCAACTTTCAAAAGGTACAAATGTATTTGTTAGATTTAATTAAATCCAGGGTTAGACGCTCTACATGCAAATTAATGTAATCCTGAAATTGTATTATTATTATACATTAAAATATTATATAATATAGTCTTTGCTAAAAAATAAAATGTTCAAAGCATTTTTTTATTTATTGTTTGTGGTAGATGAAGAGATTAGGGGTAATTATAACCAATGTCTATATACTTAATATATAACAATATTTTGTATTGTCATAATAGATAATACTTTATAAGCTCATCTTATAATACATTAGTACTTTCAACTCAATATATTTAGTAAGAGTACATATATTTATACATTTACAAATATAATAATCTGAATAATTCTTGTAAATGTTAACTAAGACCAATCAGTTTTATATTCCAGATTTTGTATTAGTTTGCCAAGAAAAATGTATGCGGCGGGTTGGGATTCTCATTCTTATTTTTATTATATAAATAGTAACATATTTACCTCTTTTATTGTAGTGAAATGGAATGGGTTGTGTGTAAATTACCCCAGATTTGTAGTTAAAGGGAGATTTTGTCTTTTTGGCGTGCGTTTGAGGCACTTGACCATAGGCTGTGTGATTATGACAGTTGTTTGTGGTTAACATGCCCCTTATTTGGAGAGCCAGACAGAGTAACAGCACAAAAGTTAACCATGTACTGATGTTCACAGGCCTTTAGTCAGTTTCTCCACTAGGTGTCGCCATCACTCCACAGTCACACAGTCAAACATCCTCTTCCTCTCTCCCTCCATATACAGGTCTGGGAGCTCCAGTCTCTCCATCAACACCAACCACGACATCAACATCAAAGCTGAACCGACCTCCCCGCCCCGCAACCACCTCAGTCAATCAGGGTACATGACCCAGGCTCACGGCCCTCCTCATCCTCACGCCTCCAGCAGAGCAGAGATGGGGAGGTCTCCCGCGGACAGCATCAGCTCCTCCTGCAGCTCCCACGAGGGCGGAGGCAGCGACCGGGAGGAGCAGCAGAGGCGGGACTTCCTCCCTGTGAGCCGCTCAGAGGGCATGGAGGGTCCAGCGACGGTCAAACGAATGCGAATGGACAGCTGGGTGACATAAAGCCTGCAGTCACATGATGTCACAACAGCAGGGCGAACACAGGAAGGACACTGTTATGCAAATGTATTTTATTGATGTGTTCTGTTGTGTTATTAAGTTTTCATTTATTTTGTGGTCAGATTTTCAAAAGTCAGTCTGCGTTTTCTGGATCCGTCCAAATTCTCTCATCAACTTTCAGAGAATCTTAAAAGGAAAACTTCACCAACCAAATGGTCATATGTACATCAAATCCTCACTCCGTGTTACTTTGGATTCTTGAAGAACAATGTGTTTTCCTCGCATGCTTCAACATCGAATCAAGAATATAAGAAGAATAACCAACATCTAATTCTTTTTTACATTTTATGCATTAACAATCACAGGCTTGTAATGCTTGGCAAGATGTTAGTAAATAGTCATTTCAAGAATCAGAATCAGTACATTTGATTTATCCCGGGGGAAAATTGACAATATTAGAATTATATAAAATAAAATAGAATAAAATATTTACTTTAACGTAAGAAGTTAAGGTAAGAATGTGCAATAAAAAAATACAATAAATAAAAATACATATGTTTATTTAAATTGGAGAAGTAAAATGTCTAATAAAATTGAATTAAAGAAAATAAAAATATTTGTATAGACATAAAATGTTCACATTGTACAATATTGACACAATTGTATTAGTATTCATAATTTATCAATGCGGAACAACACACAGGTTTAGCTGCTATTAGTGTCCTACAGTCTATTGGTTGAAAGTGTATATGGAGAGTAAGGAGAATACAGTGTGTGAAATTGTTTGAAATGTTTGATAGCGCGGCTCCTATTTGCATCAATTGATGATGACATTTTCCAATTTTTGGATGGAGAAAGGCATACGAGAAAAACAAATTCACTTCAAGAAATCACGCTAACACGGGGTAAATCCTTGATTTAGAAATTATAATTTGGGGGTTAATTATTCCCTTAAAACATATCATGGCATCCTCTAAAAATATAAATAATTGAAGCATCACAGACTGATTATGTGGGTCCAATTGCAGAACAATCTGTCTATTTGTTATCCAGCGGTATGCAATACTGTACACAAAAAAAATCCAAAAAGGTGAGATTTATTGTTGATTTTGGTGGTAAAGCAGTGAAATGCTTCCGGATGCCTCCCACTGGGTTTCACCAGATTCATTTCTGATCTTCTCAGGGTTTGAAACATTGAACGAGTCCAACATGAAAGCAATACCACCTCCTATTTTTTACAAATAATACTTATTTATATCAGCCAAAGCAGTATGCTGTTTTTATGTTTGTGTGAGTTTTTATATTGTGCACAGAATAAGATAATACTTCAGTCAGATTTCAAACTGAAAGCCATGGACACTTGTTCTGTACGGACTTCCAAAAAAGGTTGTAATTGTTTTGTATATACTATCTTTAATATATATCACTTTTGGTGTAACTCTGTTTTGTTCATCTGTCCATCTTTTCTTCCTAGGACTTATAAGACCTCCATCAGATTTGACAGAAGTATGTTTTTGTGGAGGATTTCCACATTCTATTTTTAAGAAGCCCTATTGTGCTTTTGGGGTGGCCCATTACCTGTAATGTGTTATATAGCTTTGTGTGCATGTAAATGGTCTGCAAAGGCTAAAATCCCAAAGTTCCCTTCAGAGGGAATTGCTCTCTCATATTCTCCCCCCCCCCCTCCTCAGCTGCTGGATGTATCTGAAGGAAGAAAGACTGAAGACTCTGAAGCAGGGAGATTTCCTGCATCGAATGACCAAAACCTGTTGTAGCGTGCACAATTTGAGAAACTACTTCTATTGGCTAGTGCTCCAACACATTGTACGTGATATGCTGAGGGGCGGGACATCTCTAAATGGTTGACCAATCACAACAGAGCCAGCCAGCTAACCAATCAGAGCAGACTGGGCTCTGGTTTCAGACAGAGGGTGAAAAAAGGTGCTGCAGCACAGACAGTATGAGAAAAATAAAGAGCTTTTTAACATTAAAGCAAGTAAACCAGTCACAGTAAAGGCTCAAAATACAAATATGAACCTAAAAACAGACACAATATATAAAATCCAAAGAGGCCAATAGAAAATAACTAAATGTTCAGATTATGTCCATTCACCAATGCAGAGGCTTATATCAGACAAGAACATCTACTTTATTATTCAAAAGAGGAATCAAGTGTTGACAACATGTGTTAGTAGGTCATCTGGGTTTGTACATGAAGTAACTTCCTTCAGTGTGTATTTAAAAGCGCAATGAAGGAACTAATCTGATGCAATTTGAGCAAAAGTCCATACAGTGATGAACATATAGTTTAAATGTATGACTGCTGAGGGATAAATTACATTTCCTGAGGTTCTAGGTGATGGGAATTGTATGTGTGATTGAGAAGTTAAGGATTAATGCAGAGAAACTGTAACGTCTGAGTTAGTAGGAGGCAGCACATGTGGTGAAGAGTGCAAAAGCTGCAAGAGACCACAGAAGGAGGGTGGATGGGAAGCATATCAGTCACATGCAAAGGTGACCCTATTTTGAAAATATGGTAACAAAAAAATCCCAACTGTGAAGGATGGTGCTTGGTTAATTGTAATACAAGGATAAGACAAAAAAAGAAGGAGGAAATCATAAAAAAGTCAATTTTGCTGTTGAGAATACAGGAAGGACTATTGATAGCATCAGTATGAATTAGATTGGATTGTTAAAAGTACAATAGCCTGCTTGCACAGAGAGGAACTATGTCGTTCACTGAGGATGTACTGTGTAAGTCATAATGTCTGTGGAACAGGATTATAGTATGTGAAAAGAAAAACATGATGGCCAAGGCCTTGCAGTACTCTGACATGGAGCATTGAAGGGTGGAGGATTAAAAATGCCAAGGTTAATGGGAATCATGAGGCCAACCAGCTGTTTGTGAAAAGGATTAGGTTTACGTGAGCCACAAAAGACTGCCCTGGAATCAATCTGAAACAATGTTTGGAATGATCAAGTGGACTTACTGTATATGATTCAGCTTTCCATGGAAATATCTCAGGGTTTATGTAACCTGACAGTATACAGTTGCATTATTACAGTTTTTGAACTTTTACATTTTTAATTTAAAGTTTCTATAGTTTGAATATAAAAAATACAGTACGCTACTACCATTATGTTATGATAATGTTTGATAATTTATTCTTAAGGAACAGGCTGTTAAACTGCCAAAACGGCCTGGGTATATTTTAGCATATTATATTCAAATATAAACATATTGTTTACAATAATCATTTCAGCTATCTTAGGTATCTTATGTTGATATGTTTATATATTACTTGCTTTATATTTTGGGTTAATTAGCTAATAATCTCAGTCTGTAAAAAAGTCAAGATGTCAAATAAATCTAGAGTAAAACCTAGTACAATTATATTAGCTTCGAAAAAGTAGTCGAGTAGAAGAAGTATAAAGTAGCACAACATTAATACACTCAGGTCAAGTTTAAGTAGCCTAGGTCTACCTTAACATTTAAGTATTGCTTAAGTTAATGTAACTTATTAACCCAGGGCCGGTCCTTAGTATTGGCGTTATAGATGTTCGCCTAGGGCGCCAGATCTGGGGGGGAAAAAAACATTTTTGACCGTTGGTGCTCATCCTAATTTTCGGCCTTGATGTAACAACATTCATAATTAAGTAAATGTAACACCCTTTTCACCCCGGTTACACTTTTCATTTGCCCTGTACGATGGGCGCTGTAAGTGATGAAAGTGGGGGATGTTGGCTTATCAGGCGCCCGCAGCTCACAGCCAAAGTGCGAGTGAGCGTTGGAGGGAGCGAGCGAGGGAGAAAGAGAGAGGGCGCACCACCCGGTACCGGCGCTGTTATTAGAATCTGGTGCTAGCTGCTCTAACCAAGCCCCCAGGAAGTGCGCCGGACTCTGATGAAAATATTCGTGCTGGCCAAACGGCGGTACTACACTTCCTTTTGGTTGCCAGGCCCGGAAACACTTTTTCCCATTGACTTACATGGGGAAAGAGTGGTCTGTAAATCGTTGGATAATTTTTTTTAAACTAAATAAACTACCCAGTATGAACACTTGTATAGCCCTTATTAAAAACATTCGTTCCTCAAGTTGTAAAATGTGCTAATAACGTTATTCTGAGAGTTATTTCCCTCTGCATTATGAACGCGCATCTAACCCACGGGACCGCGCCGCCCGGCACGTTCATGTTACGTGTTCAGCACTACATGCGTTTATCTTTACCCATGGATGCACAATAAGAACGGACCCATATCGCCTTACTGCCAGCCCACGGAGCTGTAATAATGGATATATTGCACATGTTTGCTGTAATTCATCATTTATAACATATTATACTACATGGGCTGTATGATTAAATCTTGTACCGTAAATGTTGTATTAAATAAAGTTAATATTACCGACGTAGATTAACGTCCCTGTAGCTTCTTATTGCACTAAGAAGCTTATTGCACTGTGTGTATATATATATATATATATATATATATATACAGTGCAATAATTCTTTCATGCTAAATGAAGCTCTGTTGCTTAGATATCACTAGATCCTGTTACAGCGTAATATAAAAGTACATAACGATTGATGTGTAAATTAGCATAATTACTAGCTAACCGCTAGCTGCTAACTGCCGCCTCGTTAATATCAAATCTATCATAACAAACATTACCATGCTGTCATGAACGTGCGGTGCTGTTACGTGTACGCAAATTGACGTGCTTGATGTGAACGAGCATTTTGGGGGGCATGGTTAAAGTTGCGCATGCGCTATGAGCGCACATACGGGTACTTCTCAGGCATGCCGGGTAATCTGTGACGTTTCGCTCTCTCAAAAGTTGGGCCATTTTATCATCATGCGCGAATGAGCAACTCTCATAGGAATGAATGAGGCCCCGCCTCCCACGCTGTATCCAGTTCTTATTATACATCCATGGCTCTAACGCAGTGGTTCTCAAATGGGGGTACGCGGACCCCTAGGGGTACGTTGGAGTTCTGCAGGGGGTACGTGAGATTTATTTTATGTTAATGTATAAAAAAAACATAATTAATACATTTAAACAAACTACTAGTAGTTACGGTGGCCCGGAAGTGCAAGACACCACAGCATTTCACAAAACACAACAGCATTTCAGAAAACACTACAGCATTTCAGAAAACACTACAGCATTTCAGAAAACACCACAGCATATCAGAAAACACCACAGCATTTCAGAAAACACCACAGCATTTCAGAAAACACTACAGCATTTCAGAAAACACAACAGCATTTCAGAAAACGCCGCAGCATTTCAGAAAACGCAACAGCATTTCAGAAAACGCAACAGCATTTCAGAAAACACCACAGCATTTCAGAAAACACCACAGCATTTCAGAAAACACCACAGCATTTCAGAAAACACCACAGCATTTCAGAAAACACAACAGCATTTCAGAAAACACAACAGCATTTCAGAAAACACTACAGCATTTCAGAAAACACTACAGCATTTCAGAAAACGCCACAGCATTTCAGAAAACGCAACAGCATTTCAGAAAACGCTACACCATTTCAGAAAACGCCGCAGTATTTCACAAAACGCCGCAGCATTTCAGAAAACGCAACAGCATTTCAGAAAACGCTACACCATTTCAGAAAACGCCGCAGTATTTCACAAAACGCCGCAGCATTTCACCAAACGCCGCAGCATTTCACAAAACACAACAGCATTTCACAAAACACCACAGCATTTCAGAAAACACAACAGCATTTCACAAAACACCACAGCATTTCACATTGGACGGAAAGGGTATTCCTTTAGGGAGAACACTTCTTGTTTGTGATTGGACAGAGCCAGCCAGAGAAGCACTGCTGTGATTGGTTGTTTTTGCTGCCAGTCAAGAAATGACGCTTCGTGATTGGTCAGCACCCGACAGCGCAACATGTCCCAACACATCAACCGTTAGCTGTTTGCACACACACTCAGAGCTCACAGCTCCTCATATCTGTTCAGAAACTGGACAAAAGTTAAACATGTAAAAACCACAGACTGTCTATGTCATGGCGAATACAGTCGCTGCTTTATTTATGTCTGTATGACGTTGTTGTGAGTGTGGACGGAGCAGCTACAGGTTAGTTTAGCCTGATGGATCCGATTCCATTCAGAAAACACGCATTTTAAAAGCTTTTCGCCTGCCGTCTTGTCTGCACACTTGTCAAAGCATTAATTCATGGTTTTTACTAACCGGTATCAGTATGTAGTTACTTCGGCATCACTTTGAAACGTGTATTACAATTAAATCACGGTCAATATGTTCATTTTGTTGTAGTTGGTATCTCCCATAGGATTTACATGGAGATACGCCCCGCCCCCTCTCCAGCGCGTCTTGTTTGAATGACAGGAGCAAACACAGCTGACAGCCGCGGTGAAACTCGAGCGATTAGAGCGATGCGAATATTGGGTA